TGCAGCTTGCCCAAGACCACATAGGTTGGTATCATAGCAAGCATCAATTCGTACACATCCAAGGATGAAGAATCCGAGTCCTATGTCTTCCGTTCAGGGCCCAGGCCTTTTCCCCCTCAGGTATGGAATAAGACTCTCCCTTTCCAAGTAAGAGCAATCCAGCTTCCCTTCATCTGTGCTCCTTGGTCAATCCACACTTATGGAAGCAGCTGCTGTACTCCCAACTCACCTAGTGTGCATACATGGATGTCTCTCCAGCCAACAACCGAAACAAGCAGGCAGAGAGATTAGCACACATGGGTTGGGACAAGGGGATTATTCACTTGGCCGCCGCTCACTGAATTTGCGGGTGTGTTCCTCTGCTTTAGCCAAGAAGGTTGTGTGGTCCATGGTGAATTCCTTGGCCAAGTCAGGACGCAATGGATGGTCCAGTTCAGGGTTATTCACCAGTACTATGAGTGCCTGGATCACTGAGAAAAAAGGACAGATGTCACAAGCAAGAATGAGCTGATGCTTTTATGCAGAGAATCAAACCAGCCACCTGGCGCCCACACCACCCAACAGGTGTCCATACTTCTTGATCATACCTTGGTCTGTTTTTATTTGGGGTTTCCAGTTCGCATCACTGATGATTGGCAGGCACACCTTGCCCATCTCATCCACATTGGGGTGGTAGATCTTCGTCTTGAATGTCACCTTGGGAGGCTTGAGGGGGTACTCGCATGGAAAGCTGATCTCAACCCTGAATGCCCCTTCATTATACGGAGGGTCATCCTGGGCAGGAGGACAGGAAGAGGCATAAGTCATTGGAAGAAAAAAATAAGTGCCAACTCCCCAGGATAGGAACACCTATCAATAAAATAAACAACCCAGTCTCTTTCTGTCCACTGCAAGATGAAAATATTCTTGCTTGTGACTCATCTGCCCTTTTCTGCAGGGATCCAAGCATTCTGCTTCAAATAGAAAATATAAATCATCATTCAATAAAACAAACAGATAATAATAATTGTGTGCTGTTGTCAGTTCTGACTTATGG